GGGGAGGTTTGTCCGGGGGGAGGGCGAGTATTTCACCGCTTACGAAGACGGATCAAGGCAAGGACTCGCGAGCTTCCACCCCGGCATCTGATAGCTCATCGCCCGGCAGAAATACCCCTGCATAGATACATGAACACATAAGACAGAGGAAAAGTCTCTTATACACTTTTGATATTTACTCTTGACGTGCAACGAATGACTCCGCCATTGCCATTGCCATTGCCATTGCCCCTGATACTAGTACCCTAACTCATACAAGCTCATGTTACCAATCTATCCTCTTTTCCGCCGCCACACTTACCATCCTGCTAGGCCCGGACATGCTGCCTATCTTTGTCCCCCGGAGCCCCTTCTTCAGCCCAAGTTTCTTGTCCAGACTCTGGAACGGATCGGTAGTCTCATGCGTCTTGACGGTCCATTTGGTCGTCCCGAGCACACTGTCCAGTTCTTGCACCGGTGGCAGCTTGAGATAGACGTAGCCGTCGTCACGTTCTTCGGCCTCGAAGGTTGCGATGGACATGGCGGGATCATTGCTACATGAGCCCGCGGTGGGTTCGGCAGCGCCGCTCTCGTTGTTGAGCTGATAGTTTCGCTTGTGCATGGGACAGGAGACGTAGAGCTTGCTCTCTTTGCAGTCCTCGCTGGGCTTGATTTCACCGAGCAGACCATCTGACAGGGCAAACGCTCGCCTGTGAGGGCACATTTGCTGCGAGGCGTAGTACTTGCCACGTATCTTGAAGACGGCAAGCTGGGTGTCGCCACGCTTCACCGTATGTGACGAGCCAGAAGGTAGGTCGGGGAACTTGTCTGCCGTAACAATCGGCTGCCATGTAAGGCTACTCCATTTGGTGTTCTTGAAGTCGTCCGTTGCAGATGCTTTGGCCCAGTATGTTGGACGAACCTGCCCTCGTTCGCTGACCTTTTCGATCGCTGGTTCCATGTTTTCGTCGGTGTTGCCAAATTGTTGAAATGCTTTGCGACGTTCCGGATCATTGATCACCTCGGTCCACTCGCAGAAGAAGGTTCCAACAAGTTCCTGCATCTGCTTTTCCAACTCGGCACATATGCCCAGGCTGTCCTCGAGAATGACCTTTTGAAGGTATTTGATTCCTCCCGGTAGCTGCTCCACCCATCGTGCTGTTCGCTGCAATCGGTCTGCCGTTCGGATATAAAACATCAAATATCTGTCGAGTATTGGTATCACGTCGTCCGGAGGAACATCCTTAGCAAGGAGCTCGCTATGTCGTGGGGTTGCTCCGCCATTGCCGCCAACAAACAAGTTGAACCCCTTTTCAGTGGCAATCAGACCAAAGTCCTTGTTCTGCGCCTCGGCGCATTCACGTACACAACCCGAGACACCGCCTTTGATTTTGTGCGGAGCCCTGATGGATTTATATCGCTCCTCCAGTCGCACTGCCATTCCAACACTGTCGCCGATACCGAACCTGCACCAAGTAGAACCCACACAAGATTTGACTGTTCGCAACGACTTGGCGTAGGCATGACCTGACTCCATTCCGGCATTGACAAGCTCGGTCCATATATCGATGAGATCTTGTTTCTTGGCTCCAAACATGTCGATCCGCTGGCCACCAGTGATCTTACAGTATAAGCCGTACTTTTTAGCTACAGTGCCAATGGTAATCAGCCTGTCAGCGGTTATTTCACCGCCAGTGACCCTAGGTATGACGCTGAAAGTGCCATTTCGTTGGATGTTGCCTAGATATTTGTCATTTGTGTCTTGAAGGCCATGCAGAGGTTTGTCCACCACGTGCTTGTTGTAAAGAGAAGCAAGGATCGAGCCGAGGGTTGGCTTGCAGACTTCGCATCCGAGAGAATCCGGGTCCTTGCCAGCCTCTTTCATGATGGCTGCAAAGTCTTTCAATTTTTTGACATAGATAATATTGAACAAATCGGCTCGTGAATAGGCGAAATGAGGACAAAGATGGTTGAGGACCTCCGCGCCCATATCTTTCATGGCGCTGTTGAAGATGGATTGAACCAAGGGCATGCAACCACCACACCCGGTCCCGGCTTTGGTGCATGACTTCACATCACCAATGCTCTTGCATGACCCGTCCTTGACAGCGTTCGCAACATCTCCCTTGGTGACGTTGTGACACGAGCAAATCTGAGTCGTGTCATCCAGATCACCTCCATCATCTTCACCTTCTTTGCTAGCGCCAAGTATGAATTGAGCTGGCGGAACATCGAGAGCCTTTTGATTCTTGACCATGGGGACCAATTTGACATAGTCTTTGGTGTCTCCAATCATCATACCCCCAAGGAGGTATTTCCCGTCTAACGTGAATAAATACTTCTTGTACACAGCTTGGAATGGATCTTTGTAGCTCAATGCCTTCACTGGCGGCGGGGGCGGACCATTCGTCATACTTTTGACCTTGTCATCTCCGTTGACCATGCCTTCTTTTTTGCCATGTCGTCGAACTGGCAGGTCTTTTGGCCCGTCTCGGTCAGCAAAGAAATCGCCGAAGCTGGCCACCTCCACTCCCAAAAGCTTGAGTTTGGTACTCAAATCGGGGCGCTTAAACGTCCGCGGGCTGTGAATCTTGGCTTGTGTGAGGTTGAACGACAGCACATCTGCCATCTCGATGCATGGTGCAATGAGCCCAAAACTCTGGCTTTCCCAGCTGGCACACTCTCCAATGGCGTAAATGTCCGGATGACTGGTCTGCAAATGGTTATCGATGACAATACCACCGCCACGATCTGCGCATTTGATGCCGGCTTTTCTGGCCAGCTCATCTCGCGCTTTGATGCCAATAGCAAACATCAGACAGGTACAATTCATTTGTTCGCCGTCTTCAAAGATGACGCCCTTCACGCTGTTGTTGTCGTCAACCTGGATTTTGCCAACTCTCTTACTGAGCAATACATCGAGGCCCAACTGCCTGACAAGATCCACCACCATACCACCCGCGTCACCGTCAAGCTGTCTTGATAGCACCCAGCGATTACGCTCAATCAGCTTGACAGACTTGAATTCTCCCAAATCCATCATAGCCTTGGCAGCTTCGAGCCCGAGAAGACCGCCTCCGACAACAGCACCTGTTGTGCCTTTGACAGTGGCAGCGAAAGCAATGAGTTTCTCCAAGTCTTCGATCGTCCTGTACACGAAGACGCCCCTAGCATTATGACCTGGTGTATGTTTAGGTAACAGAGCATCGGAACCGGTGGCAAGGACCAGAATATCGTAGGAAACCGTATCGCCGGCGGACGTAAGCACAACCTTTTCCTCAGGCTTAATCTCTGTGACGAGTGTATTCAGATGGTAGTTCAAGGAGCCTTCAGGCACGTTCGAATACTGTAAAACCAAAGTCAGCCGAGCTGCTGAAAGCGATTGAGGTTCGCGATCGGGCCGTAGCAGGATTCCGTACCCATTCTTTCGGATTGAGGTATAGATTTTCCACCTTTCTGTGCTGGAAAAAGCTGGTCAAGCCGACACGATTATATGCCAGGTGTGGCTCCTCGCCGATGACGACGACATTATATTCTCTTCGCTTCGAGTCGAGCTTCATAAGCTTCTCACTATCGAAGACAGGGTCAGCCTAGAATATAGCGATGCCGGGGTTACACCCAATTGGAAGTGCTTACATAAAGGCGATCCCAACCATACCCAAGCCCACAACGACAATTTTCTTGCGCTCTGATGAAGGCTTAGGGTATTTGTTGCTATCATTCTCCTCCCCACTATGACCATTCGGTGGCTCCTTGCTGACAGCCATGCCTGGTGACGAAGTTGCCCACGACATGGTTTGTTGAGATCTGACTTAACCTGGGTGAACCGGCTCTATAGGGTCACGCGAGAGGAGAAGAACAAGAGAGAGTCAGGACACAAAGGAACAACACCTGCGACAAAAAGAAGAATGGAGACGAATACAGATCCAAGAACTTACATGCATGGCGGGGAGAAGAGAGTGCCACTCCGCGGAGAGATTATAGATGACGACCCCATATCGAGGCCAACAGCAACCTCAGATACGGCAGGCTTATCAGGTCCACCACAATTGGAATTATGGGCAGCCAAGAGCTCCAGGAACAGAGGAAACGCGAGCCATTGGCTGTCAGGACCGCGTCGTCCATGGCCCAGCCGATCGCTCAAATGTCGGGACATGTCAACTTTGGTTGAGGCGAATGTGGACAGCATCTCGGCAGCATATGGGGCTCACCAAGATTGATAAGCTCGCAGCAGTGGGTTGGGGTGTCGTCGTGCAGCAAGAGATAAGAGCTCAGCCGCTAAACTCGATATGGACACTGTAGATCGCATTAGGCATGGCGGGTATTATATCGGTATCAAGGCATATGTATTGAAACTCTCAGACATTGCTTTGTCAGCCACGCGCAGCACCTCCCCTGTACCGGAGGACCAACCAAATGTATAGATTCCTCATCAGGCATGTACTGGCTTTCCCACAACCTGTTTCCTGGAAATCATAAACGATTTACGCTACCCCAACAAACCACCCGATGTCGCGAGTCAGATGATAGATAATAATCAAGTAGCAGCGCTGAAAGTGATCAGAAGAACAAAAGCTGGTCATCACTCCATCCCTTATCTAAGAAGACCTTATGCATGGTCTTCTCAAGCGCCTCGGGTCCACAAACTAGCACCAGGGCGTCTTGACTTTTCACACAATGCTGATCGACGACGTTGGCATCGATTCGGCCACGGAGCCCACACCAGTCATCAGGCGCCTTCGTCAGGGTGTAGATTAGCTTGCATCTATGATCATTTCCAGCTGCAAGTCCATCCAGCTCCGGCTTGCAGAGGATGTCCTCGAATTGTCGATTGCCGTTCAGGATAATGCACTTCGTTTGGTCGTTGGGGTTCTGCATAATGCTTCGGAATACCTGATATATCGGTGTGATGCCGCTGCCTCCACAGATCATGATGAATGATTTGACTTTCCGCTCAACACCCTGCACAGTACATCGACCGTGACCTAGGTACTCAAATTTGCCGATTGGGCCCTTCATCTCGATGTACTGCCCAACAGGTAGAGCATCCATTGCTTGAGACATCTTGCCACCCTTGGCGCCGTCTTTGTCAAAGTAGACCTTGACGAGCATATCCATGAAACCCTGGTCGTTTATCTCGGAAATAGGCGTGTAGCTTCGAATAATGGTTTCACTGGTCTTGGGGTCTTTTAGGCGAACCATGAGATGTTGGCCAACAGGGAGGCCAAGCCTCTGCGTTGGGTGATCAAGTGAGAAAGTGAATATTCTCGTGTCCCATGACACGATACGTTTGCCATGTAAAATAGCTTTGTTCCAGAACTTTGATTGCAAGAACGTAGGCCGGGGCTCTGCACTACCATTGGCAGTAGCGTTGGCTTCAGAGTCACTAAGTGCTTTCTTTGCAGCGTCATCTAGAGAGCCAATATGGTACGTGGGCATCATTGCTTTTGCAGTCTCGCTGTCTAGGGAAAGTCAGCTGAGGTTCTCCTTGATCGTGACGGGTAACTCACGAATAGCCATGAACTCATCTGTGCTGTCGAGACCTGCAGCAGAAATGATGCTGGTGGCTCCGCCTGGGTGACCCTCGAGAAATTCGGTGCCATCGTAGACCTCACCGTTGACAACAAACCATGGTGAATCTTTATTGTCGTGCTGTCGAAGATCCTCGATCGTGATGGAATTTTTGAGGCCATCTTTCACCATCGATACCTCTTTGGTCACCTCAGCAGCTGGCGCTGCATTGTCTTGATCTCCAATGCTCTCACCCCAATAGCCGTTTGTCAGATTCCCGCCCGCCTTTTTCACACGTTCCATCCAACCACCAGCCATTAGTGCCGGTAACGTAGGATGTTCAAAGCGTAAAAAGTCTCCCTCATTCAGGATCGTGACACGGAACCACGGATTGTTCATCATACCAAGAACGCTCCAGTACATATCTCTTGGTTGCACGTTCATGCTTTCATCCATTGCTCGTAACAAGATATCTTTGGCCCCTTTCAGCTCCGAGACGCTCAATTCGAGTGACCATTGGCACCAGCAGAAACACGATTCCCGCCATGACATGTCAAGATGGCCTCCAAAGAGTTCTACTTCGACATTGCGGTACCTGTCTTCGGGATATTCAATGTCGGCTAAACGCCAAGACATTCCCTGGTCCAGAGAAAGTTCAACACGCGTTATCCTTCGTCCTCCTCCGCTGTATGCATAGCCGCGGGTGCGGTATCTCTGCGTGTCATCTGAGACTGATAACTTCTCGTCATGAGCAGGATAACAAATGGCGGAGTTTGGGCTAAGATCGTAGATGGCATATCGGTCGTCCATCCACCATTTCGGGTCTTTTGCAGATTCTTCTGGGGAAACCATTGTTGGGAGGACTCTATTGTCATAGATGTGGTACCAGTTGTCGCTGGGAGAATCTGTCACAATGAGCTTCTTTAGCCACTTGACGCTCCGCCCACCGATTTGACCAGGAATCACAGCTCGAAGAGGCTTCCCGTGATCCGGCCTCAACATTTCACCGTTCATTTTGTAGGAGAGCATCATTCCTTTGTTGGGGTCCATCACCCAATTGAGTTTGACAGAGGTTCCATAATATCCGTTGGGGAGCTTGTCCGCGCCTTCCATGCAGACATATTTCGCACCCCTGGTTGGCTTCGCTCTTTTGATAATGTCGGACATTATCACACCAGTAAACAACGCTGTTGACAGTCCCGCAGCACCCCACGAAAAGCCCTTGCTTTTCCGAACCACGTTCTGCTCTTTTCTTCGATTGCCAGCACATACCAAGGTAACAGGACAGGTAACTTGCTCATAATCGGTCATGAGCTGCCTCAGGGTCATAGAGATCGGCTTCTCCACCAGTCCCTCCACAGAAAATTCCCAATTGGGTATCTCTTCCTCGTTTACATGAGGAACATACCCATGATTTCGGACGTAGAACAATTCAGGGCTCGTCAAGAACCCCTCATCAAACAATGCAGACAGAGGAGCTTCAACGTTAAACGGATGAACTCCGGTTAATCGTATCAATCTTGGGTCTCGAGGCACAAGGGAATCCGGGGTGCTCTGGTCAATGTCGAGGACCTCCGTAGGGATAGTAGTTGGTGGAGGTAGAGGGATATCAGATGTTTCACCCTCTATGGATTTATCCGAAGCGCTATCGTCTGTCGCTGGAGGGGAGGGAGGCAGCACATTCTGCTTTTTCTCCATTTTCAACGGCAAGCCACGTGATTCCTCCTTCGTATCCTCCATGTTGAATAGTATGGAGAGAAAGGAATTCCTCAAAGAAGTACCTCAGGTACGCACGAAATAAAGCCAAAAATGGACACGTGGAAATCTAAGGAACGATCAGGCAGGATAGGGCATTAATGGAGGAAAGGGGGTCAATGTCTGGGATTGCGAACGACCTACTATTCTCGAGTGACGTGCTCCGCGGCATCTGGGGTATTGTACAGCCAAATGGAGGCGCAAATCTGCACGTATCGAGAAGAATCAGGGATGATCCGCGGAAGTGGCTTCATCATGGTTGTGGGGACGCTTCTTGCTATCAGAGGCTGAGGATCCTTCTGCTTATCAGTGAGGTTCCATCAAATACCTGTTATCTCCTTAGCGGTATTTTATCGCTTGACCAATCGTGCGCCTATCTAAGACATCAGTGCATGGCAACCCGGCTGTAGAATGAAGTATCTTCTGTTTTAAAGCAGTAGGTTCTAGATCTTGCAAACGAAATACTGTACACATTTAGAGAATCCAAAAGGTCTGGATTAGGCGCAGAATAATTTTCGTGTGCGTAGTTGGATGGGATGAGCTTTGCAGCGCGCGGACTGATTGCGACGACATCGCTGCAGTAATTCTCCTTGGCTGGAGTTGGCATTGTTCGCGGAGCACTGCTTGCAGCGTTTTGAGCTGGGCGCCATGATAGTACTCGTGGCTGAAAGCAAAGCATTCAAACAGGAATGATATCTCAGCATATGACTCTGCAGCAGCGTGGTCTCGGAGACACTTGGGACAGAGCAAGCTGAATTTCTCCTGATGAGGCGCAATCGCACATAGAGTTGAAAGATTGGCATCCAATGTACCCGCTCTTCCAACTGCTGCAATTTACTTGTGCTTGGGACGATGAAATCACGGCTAGAAAAGCGATCACGACGCTCCCATAGAATTAAAGTGGGGTTTCTCGCCAAGAGACTAATGCAGACACTCTTGAGCGCGTCGCGTCGCGTCCCAAAAAGACTTCGCCCGAAGTTCGCTCCCATTTTGTAGATCTCAACTCAACACAACCCAGCAAGAGAGCATTGTTCTCCTGCCATCGTCCCGGGATAATCAATAAATCATCATGGATGGCATACAGCTTCGCGATGAAGCGGTTCGAGATAGAGTTCGAGCCGCTACGGAGTTTCTCGATCCCACAGATGCTCGTGCCCGCAGCTATCGAGCAGATATTGTTTTGATGCTCAATAGGGGCCTGCGCAGACTCGTCGTTAGCATTGACGATGTTCGCGCCCACAATAGGGAGCTTGCAGATGGCCTACTCTTCTCTCCTTTCGACCACGTGCAAGCATTTGACCAGGCACTGAAAGATGTCGTCAAGACCCTGCCCAATCGCCCACCAAAGGAGACATCAGATGAGGCTGTATGGCATGCGCCGGTGCTGTCTGACTTCGCTAACAGACCGCAGGTCTACTATTGCGCCTACTCCGGCAGCTTTGGCGAGAATGCCTGCAATCCACGCACTCTCGGATCAAGCCTGCTCAATCGCTTAGTCTCGTTGGAGGGAATTGTCACCAAATGTTCTTTAGTCCGACCGAAGGTGGTCAAAAGCGTGCACTGGAACGAAAAGAAACAGACGTTTCACTTCCGGGAATATCGAGACAACACCATGACAGCTAATGGCGCAGCTAGTACAAGTGTTTATCCGCAGCAAGATGAAGTGGGGAATCCGGTATGGTCATAACAGCAGAAGATAACACAAGGCACTGACTGATTCTAGCTTGTTACTGAATATGGATACTGCACCTACCGGGATCATCAGACCATTTCCATCCAAGAAATGCCGGAAAGAGCGCCCGCAGGTCAGCTTCCTAGAGGCGTAGACGTCCTCATGGACGATGACATGGTTGATCGTGTCAAACCTGGCGATCGCATACAGCTTGTTGGCATATTCCGCTCGCTAGGAAATGCAGGGTCTGGCTCCTCGACGTTCCGGACTCTAATACTCGCAAACAACGTTGTGCTACTCTCATCCAAGTCTGGTGGCGGTATAGCTCAGAGTACAATCACGGACACCGATGTCCGAAACATCAACAAGCTTTCGAAGAAAAAAGATATTTTCAAACTGCTATCTCAATCGCTGGCACCGAGCATCTATGGACACGATCACATCAAACAAGCAATCCTGCTTATGCTTCTTGGTGGCATGGAGAAGAATCTCGACAATGGCACCCATCTGAGAGGGGACATCAATATTCTAATGGTTGGTGATCCCTCAACCGCAAAATCGCAGCTTTTACGGTTCGTTCTCAATACTGCGCCTCTGGCGATCGCAACGACTGGGCGTGGCTCATCGGGTGTGGGTCTTACTGCAGCCGTAACTACTGATAAGGAGACTGGCGAACGACGTCTGGAAGCAGGTGCAATGGTTTTGGGCGATAGAGGTGTCGTGTGTATTGACGAGTTCGATAAGATGAGCGATGTCGATCGTGTAGCTATTCACGAGGTCATGGAACAGCAAACGGTCACCATTGCGAAAGCCGGTATCCATACATCTCTGAATGCGCGATGTAGTGTTGTGGCAGCCGCCAACCCTATCTATGGCCAATACGACACCCATAAAGACCCTCACAAAAACATCGCGCTTCCAGACTCACTTCTCTCTCGTTTCGATCTTCTCTTCGTCGTCACAGACGATGTAGAAGATGAGCGCGATCGCCATATCTCCGAGCACGTGCTCCGAATGCACAGATACCGCCAACCAGGGACCGAAGAAGGCGCGCCTGTCCGTGAGCAAGCGTCTCAGATGCTAGGTGTTGGGCTGGAAGAAGATCAAGATCTCCGTGGCCGCCCGACAGAAGTCTATGAAAAATTCAACGTCATGCTTCATGCTGGCTTGGCTCATTCCAGACGAGGACGAAACGCGAAGCCCGAAGTCATTAGCATTCCTTTCATAAAAAAGTACATCCAGTACGCCAAGTCACGGATAAAGCCTGTCCTTACGAAAGAGGCCGCCGATTTGATCGTCAAAGCTTACGCTGACCTGAGAAACGACGATCTGGAAGGCAACAAGCGCCGCACTAGTCCCATGACGGCGCGGACACTCGAGACGCTGATTCGTCTCTCAACCGCTCACGCCAAAGCGAGACTGTCGAGCCGAGTTCAGGCAGAGGATGCAGAGGCAGCTGAAGTCATCCTCAAATATGCTCTCTTCAAAGAAGTCATAGCTCCGGAAGACCGACGCAAAAAAAGACGAAAGGTAGATAGTAGTGCACCGAATGGCAGCTCGAGTAGCGATGAAGGGGAAGGCAGTGGCGACAGCGATGATGACGATGATTCCGACAGCGGATATCGCGGGCCATCTGGAAGGTCAGGAACAGTCTCCCGACCCAAAAGTCAGCGATCTGCAAACAGAAACAACAGGAACAGCAATTCAGCAAACGCTCTCAATGGCAATGTGAATGGCAACGCGAACGGCGACGTCGAAGGCTATGAGTCCGACGACCTCTATGGGTCCTCTCCCAAGCGGCAACAAGCACGTCACGACCATACCACTCAGACCACGAGTCAGTTGTCTCGCATGTCAATCGCATCGTCTCTGCCCGCCTCGCAGCTACCGAGCACGCAGACTGATTCTCAAGGACGGGATTCCCAGAACCAGTCAGCGCTTACAGCAGCGGAAGGGGACGATGATGAGGAGGAGGAGGAGGTCGACGACGACGAAGCACAACATCCGCCAATATCGCCTTCTCGACTGGCGGCATTCCGTTCCACGCTTGGTCGCTTGATGAACACGAGACTTTTTGCCAACGATTCGGCGAACGTGGATCCGTTGATTGAAGCGGTGAATAACAGCATTACTGGAAGAAGTCAAGAGGTGTTTGGACGAGAGGAAGCGATCAAGGCCTTGAGGGTTATGAATGAGGAGAACCAAATCATGTAAGTCAAGTGCCTCCCCGTCCTTGCATCTTATCGGGATGTTTGTGCTGCTGTCCGTGAAATGATGATTGCCTGTTACTAATGTTTTATTCATTCAGGCTGCTTGAGGAATCGGATGAGGTTTTCAAGATATGATGACCGTTGTATGATGCAGCGTTGGAGTTTCTGATACCGCACAGCGCTGGGTATATTCGTCCGCAGGACGTTTCTCTTGCATCATTCTCACGTCAACAGGATATGATAGGTGGAGTTCGAGATGAGAGCCAAGGCTGTCGATTGGCTCCCTTGTAGTACTGTATTTGATTTTTCTAGTTAAGGTTGACATATACATTATCCAGCATCAGAACGATGACAGCAATGCCGCCTACGGGCTTTCCATGTGCTAAGAAGAGTGGTCACTTCATCGTGTATGTATAAAACGAAGCAGGGATTCTTCTGATATAACAATACTCTGATTCTATCCAGTTTCTACAGCTGGGTCCCATTCTTTCCGATGCAAATCCGGGACCCTCATTACATATTTATGAAGGCTCATGTGAAGGGAAATCCACGTGGAGATGAGCGTGATGCTGGGTGACGCTGCTTTCGAAACGTTACCACTGGTTAATAGACTATAACGAAATATTAGTACATTACAATTGTACAAAACTTATTTAGACTTCTCTCCGAGAGAAAGTCCTGAAGCGACTTCACCCGTAGTACGCTAGTCCCAGAAAAGCTAAGATCGACCTCTTCTAGTTAGCGTTTAATGAAGACTTTTGATGCACGGCTTCGTCCCAGAAATAAATATCATTGGTTAGATCTAATAGTAGTTAGTTTTGGATACAAGAGTCTGACGTCCTTTTAGTACGCTAGGATGTATTAACCCCTTAGTGTTTACCACGCTCCTGCAAACCCATTGTCCAGTTGAAAGTATTTCTCACAGTTTTGCGTCTTTGCCCCTCCGGCAGAGGGGAACGAGCCAGGAAGATTTACGCCCTGCAAATCACTACAGCTCGCCATGGCCCTGACATTAGGACAAGAATGTTGATGTCTCGACAGCTTTGGCCCAGTTGGGCAGTTTGAGCAAGATATCTTCAAGGATCCTAAGCCGCGTTGCCCTCCTCAAACATATCATGAAAGTAGGGTACTTCTCATTTTCCGCCTCCATCCATACTTCTTGGCCTTTCTGTGTTTCGAGAAGCAGCTCGATCGCATTCATGGTAAGTCGTCGGTAGCAAGCCGGTCAGTGCAGCGGAGTTTTTCCGTATAGGTCCTTTGGGTCTGCAGCCTGTCCCTGGCGGCTAAGTAAGAACTTGACTACCTCACCTTGATATCATCTGAGACTGGTTTGCAAAGAATATTTGGATCTTGAGAGAGTGCCAGTAGGGCGTGATGCATCTCACCCGATGGTGATGAAAGTTGTTTCAGGGCCAGACAAAGAGATGTATGATGGCTTTCTCGCTTGACCAATCCTACCTTGTTTATCGGCTCTCGGTGGTCACATTGTGGTACGGTCAGCGGAGAAACAATGATGACTCTCATTCACAAAAAGCAAATTTCGAGGGCATATAGTGATTGAGACTATATTCAAAACACTAAACACTTAGCAAGGGAACCAATCCCACGATTTCTGTTTCGCGATTCAACCTCAACACTTCACAACCACATGGACCCTGCTAATGCAATCACCCTGATTATGGCCCATCCTTTCACCATCAGTACTTCTCTTCTAGCTTCTACAAGCACGAATGAAGTCAGTGACGGCCTGTGCCACGACGCTATTTGCTGGAATTATTCTGCATGTTCGAGGTGCTTGCGCTTGACAACATATACGAAATCACCGAAAGCCGCCAACACTTCTTGATTGGCGAAGTAATCAACAGCTTTGGCCGCGTCATGGGTGTTTGAACGACCCTAGTCGGAGAGCAATAGAGTGACCTCTGTCGCTTCCTGGTGTGTCATAGTTGTGGTCTGCTGAAAACAATCAGAAGCAGTATTCGTGGCCTGAGATCTCAAGAGCCGAGACAAGCTGATTAGTGAGCCGCTTTCTTTGTACATTGGACAATGATCCTGTTCTGGCCGCACAAAGCCGCTTTATTCAGCCTCTCGTTTCTTTGTGAAGGGCACAATGAGATTGTCTGTGCGGCAATGAAATCAGTTTCACCCTAGAGGCTTGTTTGTGCCTCACATGTAAGGTGACCCAGCAGGATGTGGAAGCCTCTACATCTAATTCTCCAGCTCCATCCCTCCTTTCTTCCCCTTGTTCTCATCATTCAATCCAGTATACCCCAACCACCAAATTAAGAGAGAACAAACAAGCATGACCCCCAAACGCACAGTGAACTTCCACTCGTCCACCAACCCCCCAACCGAACAGACCCACATCCGCATCATCCCGAAGACGGAAATCCACCTCCGAAACAGCCAAACCTGGATCCCAGTCCAAATCTTCGACCTTGTCACCGACCACCTCAGCTACCCCCACACCCAGCCTGGCGTTCCCTACCCCACAACCCCATACGATGATCTCATCCACACCCTCTCCTTCATAACATCCTACCCCATCACCGCCGCGCTGATCTCCGAAATCCAAGACCTACTCCACCGGAAAAACAATCCCACCTCCCCCAAAGCCCAAGAGAAAGCAGAAGAAGAAGCAGCGGTAGCAGAACTCTGGAGCCCCTTCGACGCCATGCACAACCAGTGGGTAACGCTGCAACGCCAACGCGTCTCCGCCGCGCAGAAACTCGACCGTCTCCTCAATCAGAACATGGACACGCTGCTCGGAGCGCGCCTGCCCCGGAAAGCGCCC